GGCACCTCTCTAGGATGGACTCAACCCCTACAGGCTCACAGCGCTTGGCGTGGGTTCACCAGCGATTTCCCCTTTGGACAGGCATCTGGGTTCAGGGTACAGCCCGCAGAGAGTAGCCACCTTCCTCTCTGCGAGTGGGATGATGGTGTATTGCTTTCCGCGAGGAGCGGATCCCAGCCCCACCAGCAGGAGCGCCCACGGTGTGGGGTGTGGGGTGTGGGGTGTGGGGAGGTTGCCTGAAGTCCCACACTCCTTAAATTGGTCCTTAAACTGTGTGGCCTCAGACCTGTATCCTCCTGGCTGTGGGCGTCCCTGCTGTAGGTTGGATTTTGGCGGTTCCCTGAGCTGTGTTTGAGGAGAGGGTGGAGTGCCATCTGGGTGACCGTCCTTCACGGTCCTGCAGGTGGGCAGGAACAGCTGTCAGAGGCTTCCCCGGGGAGGGGGTGTGCGCCCACTGTGTGTGCACAGTGTGTGTGTGCCCGCAGTGTGTGTATGTGTGCATTATGTGTGTGTGTGTGAGCGTGTGTGTGAGAACAGATGCCCAGGTTCAGGGGTTAAACTGTGAGCCTGGCCAGAAGAGGGGCAGCGGCTGCAGCATCAGAGCCGCGCACCCTCAGCCCCTTGCCCTGCCTTCCAGTCCTGACTTCCTGGGCGCCCCGGGCCTGGCGCTGCCCGCCGAGCCGCTGCCCCCGCTCCTGGCGCCCGACGTGTGGGCCCGACTGGAAAGTGACTACACTAGCTTCCTCGAGGTCAGTCCCGGCGGGTCAGGCTGGAGGGGGCAGGCTCCGGGGGGAGGTGCGGCGCCCAGGCGCGCGGCGGCCAGAGCTGGGCTGGTTCACCCTGCGGCCCCTGGCGCGGGCTTGTGACAAGACAGGGAGGCCCTCATCCAGGACGGCGCGGGACGGGGTCCGGGGGGTCTCACCGTGGTCGTCCCTTCTCCCCGCAGGCCAAGATCGCAAGCTGCTTCGACCGTATCTTGCAGCTGGAACAGAGTCGCTGGGCGGCGGCCGAGGGCCCCGAGGTGCTGCAGGGCCTCTACCGGGTGCCGCTGTCCATGGACGTCCACATGGTGCGGCCCAGAGCAGGGGCTGGGAAGGGGCGCGTGTTCAAGCCTCACGCACACGATGGGGACACCCAGAACGGTTCTAACCAACCCTTCCGTTAGATGGGAGCCTGAGGCCCCGCGTGGGAGAAAATCGGGACCTCGGGCACGTCGAGGGGCTGGGAGGCAGCTGGACGGGGGTTTGCGGGAGTTGACTGTCGGGTTGCGCGGCTTTCCGACTGAGCGACACAGCGGGCTGGCTGAAGGCGTGGCGGAGCTACCGGGTGAACTGCGGCCTGGGGTCGGCGGCTGGGACGCGCGCTCAGTGCGGGGCTTCGTTCGCAGCTCGTGGCCGAGCACGTGAAGGCGGCCGGCGCCATCTCCGCGGAGCTGGAGGCCACCACCCTGCGAATCTGCACGCGGGCGCTCGGCCTCTTCGTGCCCAGGTGCGGACTCATCCTCGGTAGGGCAGCGACCCGGCCGGGTGTGCTCTGCAGGTGGGAGGGAGGGGTCTGCGCGGGGACCTGATGGGAGGGTGGACCCAGGGTCATCGCGCAGCCAGGAAGGGTCACCAAGGGCGCTGTGCATCCTGCCCCAGGTTTGAAAAGGCTTTTCTGGCGTCGGAGGCGGTGAGCGACCCACACCTGGGCGCCTACATCAATGCCTGCGAGGAGCTCAGGTAGGGCTCGGCCGCTCCTGCGCAGGCGCGGCGCGGCGCGGCCGGCAGGGGGCGCGCGAGCGCCGGGAACCTGGATGGAGGGGAGTGCGCGCGCGCGGAGGGGGCAGAGGTGAGGAGCGTGTGTTTGTTTCCGTGTGTTGGTGGACCTGAGGGGTGTGTGCGCGTGTGTGCATGTGTGTGTGGCAGACTTGAGGGGCGTGTGTGTGTGTGTGTGTAGTGGAGCTGAGGGTGTGCATGTGCATGTGCGTGTGTGCAGAACTGAGGTGTGTGTGTATGTGTGGTGGAGCTAGGAAGTTGTGTGTGTGTGTGTGTGTGTGCATGTGTGTGGGGTGGAGCTGAGTGGTTGTGTGTGTGTGTCAGAGCTGAGGGGCGTGTGTCTCGGGTGTGTGTGTTTGTGCATATGTGTGGGGTGGAGCTGAGTGTGGTGTGTGTGTGTGTGTGTGTCAGAGCTGAGGGGGGTGTGTGTGTCAGAGCGGAGGGGCGTGTGTCTCGGGTGTGTGGGGTGGAGCTGAATGGTGTGTGTGTGTGTCAGAGCTGAGGGGGGTGTCCCGTGTGTGTGTGCATGTGTGTGGGGTGGAGCTGAGTGGTTGTGTGTGTGTGTGTGTGTGTCAGAGCTGAGGGGTGTGTGTGTGTGTGTGTGTGTAGTGGAGCTGAGGGTGTGCATGTGCATGTGTGTGCGTGTGCAGAACTGTGTGTGTGTATGTGTGGTGGAGCTAGGAAGTGTGTGTGTGTGTGTGTGTGTGCATGTGTGTGGGGTGGAGCTGAATGGTGTGTGTGTGTGTCTGCATGTGTGTGGGGTGGAGCTGGGTGGTGTGTGTGTGTGTGTGTCAGAGCTGAGGGGTGTGTATGTGTGTCAGACCTGAGGGGCGTGTATCTCTGGTGTGTATGTGTGTGTGAGAGCTGAGTGGGGTGTGTGTGTGTGTGTGAGAGTTGAGAGGTGTGTCTCGGGTGTGTGTGTGTGCATGCGTGTGGGGTAGAGCTGAGTGGTGTGTGTGTGTGTCAGAGCTGAGGGGTGTGTCTCGGGTGTGTGTGTGTGCATGTGTGTGGGGTGGAGCTGAATGGTGTGTATGTGTGTCAGAGCTGAGGGGCGTGTGTCTCGGGTGTGTGTGTTTGTGCATATGTGTGGGGTGGAGCTGAGTGGTGTGTGTGTGTGTGTGTGTGTCAGAGCTGAGGGGGGTGTGTGTGTCAGAGCAGAGGGGCGTGTGTCTCGGGTGTGTGTGTTTGTGCATGTGTGTGGGGTGGAGCTGAATGGTGTGTGTGTGTGTCAGAGCTGAGGGGGTGTCCCGTGTGTGTGTGCATGTGTGTGGAGTGGAGCTGAGTGGTGTGTGTGTGTGTGTGTCAGAGCTGAGGGGGGTGTCCCATGTGTGTGTGTGCATGTGTGTGGGGTGGAGCTGAATGGTGTGTGTGTGTGTCAGAGCTGAGGGGGGTGTCCCATGTGTGTGTGCATGTGTGTGGGGTGGAGCTGAGTGGTGTATGTGTGTTTGCATGTGTCAGAGCTGAGGGGTGTGTCTCGGGGGTGTGTGTGTGTCAGAGCTGAGGGTTGTGTGTCTCCAGTGTGTGTGTGTGTGTGAGTGTGTGTGTCCATCCAAGCGGAGGACCTGGGGGAGTGCGGGCAGCTCTTCAAGGCGGAGCAGAGGCCGAGGGTCCCAGCCCCCTGCCCACTGCCTCACCTCCGTCTTCCCTCCCGTCGTCCTAGGCAGCATTTCTTCCTTTTCGGGACACCTCCTCCTCTGGGAAGCCTCCCTGAGCCCGAACCCTGGGCTGTGCTGGGGTGGGGTCTGGGTCTCTGTGCCCCCAGTAGGTGGAGGCCTCCCTGTGGGCTGGCAGCGGCTGGCAGCCTTCTGTGCCCTCAGCTCCAGGCCAGGCCTCAGCAGATGCATCAGTGCTGAGGGCGGCCAGCACCGGAGGGCACAGACCGGGCCACCCTGACTGGGTGCATCCTTTTTTTGAAGTTTGTAGATGTTAGTGTTCCGAAGTGCTCACTTCTCATTTATCTGATTTCAAAGAACAGCTGTGCCACCTGCTGGCTGTGTGCTCTGGGACAAGCCACTTTCCTCTGTGCCTCTTTTGCCACCTGTCAAATAGGATCAGAGCAGCTGCTCCCTGGGGCAGTGTGGAACTCTGTGCCTTAGGGGACTCAGCTCCCATTGGCTCTTTGTGAGCGCCTGTGAGTGCCAGGCACTGAGCAAGTGCCTCCCCTGCCTGACGAGTCTCATCCCAAGCCCACACAGGTGGGTATACAGGCCTGGAAAGGAGGTGCCACTTGCCCATAGTCACGCAGCCGGTAAGTGGTGGCGCTGGGACTTGAACCAGGCCTGCCTACATCCAAAGCATGACCATGAGGCACTGCTTCTCTAACACTCTCTTGTCCTTAATCTGTGCCAGGCCTGTCCTTGGCACTGGGACCCTGGGTTTCAGCTCCAGGGAGCGTTCTCTGCCCGTTGGTAAGTCAGGCAGCCTCTGGCCAAACCCTTGATGGAACTCCAGCCTGCCCTACTGTGTCCCTGGCTGTGGGAACTGGGCGTAGCCGGTACCTTAGTTTCCTCAACAGTGAAATAGGGACATTGTCATCTTCAGGGGGCAGTTATGAGGCTCAAGGTATGGCTATGCCACACTGTTTATCACCAAAAGGGAGGGAAAGTCCATCCCAGGGCTGTCAGAGGAGAATGGGCCAGCCACCCGCTGCCCTGCCCTCTGTGACCGGCTCCCTGCCTTCCGTGCTGCCCCTCACTTGACTCTGCTCACAGGCGGCTACACTGCAGCCCACAGGCTGCCCTTCACATTGCAGTCTAAGTGAGTGGAGCTGGAGCGGCCTTACCCTACACGGGCTGTGTGCCCCACCTTGTTCCCCAGCCTGCCCTCCCTTGCCCACTTCATCGATGGTCCTGGCCCCTCCCCAGGACCAGTCTTCTCTCCAGGTTCCCAGGAACCCAAGAGGAGCTGGAGAAGCCCCTGGTGGCGGCCACCTGCAGCTTCCAGAAGCACCTGCTTTGGGGCCTGCAGCGTGACTTGCAGGTGACTGTGACAGGCCCTCTCTCCACACTGTGCATGCCCAGCAAGTACCCCCCATTCCTAGAGCCTGGGGGCCCAGGTCACAGCATTCATTTATTCCAGGGACCAGCTCATGGGTGCGTGTGAAGGGTAGTGGGCAGGGAACCCAGGGGAGGTCCCAGCTGAGCACAACGACCAGAAGCCTGCCTTCTCACTTCAGTCTCCAGCTGTTGGTGGTCACCCCAAAGCCTGGGATAGTGGGTCCCCGGATCCAGGCCTAGGCCCCTCACCCAGACCCTCAAGGCGTCCCCGGGAGACACCCTGAGCAGATCTGACTGGACAAAGTCAAACCCTGCCCCTGGAGCTTGGGGCCTGGGAGAGGCATTCCAGAAAAGGGCTCCTGACATCACCTGTGGCTAGGAGAGGGGATGACCCCAGCCCAGGAGAGAAGGTGTCAGGAGTGCACACTGGGCTTCAAGGGAGGGCTTGGGTGGGGGGAGTGCTTTGCAGACTCCCTCCGCTCTGTCCCCAGCCGCTCTTCAGGGCCGTGTGGACCAGGGGCTGGCTGGCAGGGGACTGGCTGCGACCCCTCATGGACAAGGTGGTAGTCTTTGCTGGTCATCTCCAGCATGTGGCCCGGCCGCGGGCACAGGTACCTCAAGGGTGAGGGCCCCGGCAGGGCTGTGCCCAGGGTTGGGGCTGCTGACCCTGACCCTGACTCTGACTCTGGTCCATCCAGGAGGCTCTGCAGGAGGTGCACCGGTTCGTGGTCCGAGAGTACCTGGCGCAGGCGCTGAGGCCGCGGGAGCGGTTCCGGGGCACGGAGCGCATGCGCGGCTCCCAGAAGATGAGTCAGGATGCCCAGGCCATCGGTGACACCTTCCAGGGCCTGGTAGGGGCGGTGTCTGCTGCCCCTGGGCATTTGCCTTTGTGTGGGGAGGGGGTGGCAGTGACTAGGGCCCTAGCACCGGGAGGGCTTTTGGCGGGAGCTGTTCTCCCCACTCTGGGTCAGGTGGAGCAGGGACTGGGGCGCCTGTGGGGTTGGGGTGGGACCAGGTGGGAGGATGTCACTTTGCATACATTTGCATACAGTTTGTAGGGGAGGGGGGAAGTGGCGAGGGTCGCAGCTCCATCTCACGGGCAGGGCCTGTGGCAGGTGTTCCCCATTCAGGCCAGAGCCCTAGAGCAGAGGCACAGAGCCCCTGCACACACCTTGTCTGGCCTGAACACTCCCAGGCTGGCCTCGTTTTCCTGTCGGAGCAGAGGCAGGAAGATGCCTGTGGGGATGGGACCGGAAGGGAGACGAATGCTGAGGCCCAGGAGCCCTCGGTTTCTAGGCACACCTCCCGTCCAGTTTGGGGAAGGCAGCCCCAGCACCCAGTTGGAGTGGCTGCAGGAGGGCTGACCTCACACCCCTGCAGGAGTTGGAGCAGGGGCGGGGAGAGGGCTCCTGGGGCAGGTGGTCTGTGTCTCACAGGGTTCCGAGGCCACGTGGCTGGACCAAGCCATCCAGTGTGTGGCCGAGATCCTGGGCGAGACTTATAAAGATGACATCCAGCGGCACCTGGAGACTCTCATCCGGAGCTACCCTGACATCAGGTGTGAGCCCCACCTGCTCCGCTGGCTTCAGGGCCAAGGGGGCTGGGGTTGGAGGGGCCCTGGCCTGGACCTGACTGCCCAGGGGCCTGAAGACCAGAGGCTGGTGGTGGGCCTTGGACCCTCAGACCCTCGAGGCTGGAGGGGAACAGAGAGAGCCCCTTCTCCTAATCTGTTCTCAGCCTTCCTCCATCAGCCCCACTGGGGTAGGGCACGCCTCCAGTCCTAGAATCTGAGGAGGGAGGCGGACCCTGAACCCTTGGGGAGAAAGCCCTCTCTGAAAGCAAGGGGATTCTGAGACCGGGCCAGGAGGAAGGAGGCTTTGATCCCAGGGTGTGCTGGGGGGACGGTGAGTCATCCAAGTGCTTGGAAATCTCAGCTTGAATCTCTCCATTCTTTTGGAGATTCCAGGATGTGGAGTGCACAGAAAATTCCTGGTCAGCCCCTTCTCTGGGCCACCCTGCCGTGGGGTGGGGGAGAATTCTTCCTTCCCAGCCAGGCTGCCTTTCGGGCTATGGCTCAGAGACAGCACCCTGGGCGTTCCCCTCCAATCCCCCCTCCCCACTGCCGGCCCTGTCACCCACAGCTGCATCAGCCCCTCCCTGCCTCTCCAGAACCTGTCCCCGGGTCTCCCTCTGCGCCTGTGTGGGCTGCTTCCCCGCTCTGCAGACCCCTCTCCTGTGCCCCCTTAAGCCCAGCTGCCGTGCCCCTCAGGCCCATGCTCCGTCCCTCCCCTAGCACAGCTCTTCCTGGCCTCAGTCAATCTGACCCTGACGGACTCCTGGAATGCAGGGTGACTCATACTAACTCCCAAGCCCACGGGTTCCCCCATCCTGGGACTGCGGGTGCTGCGGGGTGCTCAGTGAGCGCCCGCATGTCTCTGCAGGCAGGACCACGTACTGGCCATTCTGGCGCTGCGCCGCCTGGGCCGCCGGCGGAACCAGCATCTCTTGCAGCACGCCCAAGACCTGCTGAGAGCTGCGGCCGGGGCTGCGGGTGCAGAGGCCCCCCGGGGCCGTGTGCTCTTCGAGGAGATCAAGGTGCCCAGTGCCATGGCGGTGCTGATCACCTGCGTCTAGTGCTCTCCGGCCAGAGAGGGGGCGGCTGTCGGTGGGGAGCCGTGGTCCATGGGGGTCAGCCAGAAGCCGAGGGAGTCACTTTCGGCCCTGCTCCCAACTCTGACACCACAGTTAGGGAATTTTTGTCGTCAGCAGCTGAGCACAGCTGCCAGGCCAGAAGGAGCAGCCTGCCGGAGGGATTTCAGGCATCAGAGGGAGTGTTTTGTGTTGCAGAGCTCCCTTCAGTGCTGCCCAGCTTCACCCTCCGGTCTGAAAGTGAAGAGCAGAGAATTTATTTTAAAAATAAATGTGAATTAAGATGGTGCCTCCCTAAGGAGTGGGCAGGGAACGGGAGGCCTGGGTCCCCGTGTGCCAAAGGGCCGGGCCGGAGGCTCTCTGGTGACACCATTTGGTGGGTGGCCCTCTCCTGCCTGTGGAACCCATGGGGAGACTGAGGCAGGTCCAGAGCGGGGCAGGCGCATACCAGGGGCTGCCTCCACCACTGCCTGGGTCCGCTGGCCTTGTTCCCGGTCAGCCTTGCACAGCAGGGCTGGGCACTACTCTGTCCCAGCCAAGGCAGACTCAGGGCTTCCTAGGGACAAAAAGAGGCTAAGGCTGCTTCTGCAGCTTGAAGAATTCAGGTTAGATGTGGGAGGGACTTCCCAGCAGTGAAAGTTGTCAAGTTACTGCAGGGGGTGTCACTGTGGAGTGTGTATGCGGGTGAGCACGAGCAGACTGCTCCAGTGTGCGCCTGCACCTCCGCTCTCCCCCACCACCTGCCACTGGAGCTCGGTGGCAGCCTGCGGCTGAGCTGCTGGGAAATCCATTTGCATTGGCAGCCAGGCTTGCTGGGGAGGCCGAAAGTTGAGATGGGGAGATTTCCAGGGAGCAGCTGAGACAGGTGGTGACAGATGCCCCTCCCAGCCCTCTGCAGTGGCCCCCCGTAGTGTCTCTGGGCCTGACCCTGACCCTGGCGAGAGTGGGGGCCAGGTGACTGCAGGCGGGCTAGGGTTCCAAGAGCTCAACAAAGTTGGGTCACCTGAGGGCAGGCAGGGCCTGAAGGGCTGTGGTGCCAGGCAGGCAGGGCTGTGTCTCTCCCCGTTCCCTCCAGGTCCCCTCGTGGTACTGTGGACAGCCAGGGGCCAGTTCCCCAGGCAGCCCTGCCCCAGTTCCCATGTCAGGGCTGGGGGCTGGGGTCTGAGTCTTGCTGGGGCCTGGTGCGTGGGGGTCGAGTGCCCAGGGCTTGTCTGTCTCTTTTGGGGGCAAGTGCTCGGGCTGTGCCCTCCTTCATGGGGGCACCAGGGCTGGAGGCCAGGAGCAGGGCAGGCCGGCTCAAGGGAGTATCCAGAACTCCCTGGCAGGGTGGGGTGGGTGGGGCAGGAATGAGGAAGTGGGAGGGCTGGGGTTCCCCACCTCCAGGGCTGTAGTGGGGGCGGGTGTGTGATGCCGGTGCCGATAAGCGGTCCCCATACCTTATGGGAAGACCGAGGCTGGCAGAGGACAGGTGGGCACTGCTTCATGCCTGGAATCCTCCCAGCCAGGGGCCAGAGGGGCAGGTATTTTCCTAGGGGAGGGGCCCAAGAGGATTGACAGGTCAGTCTGTCCCCTGCTTGACCCCACCCCTGAGCAGGTGGCCATCAGTGTCCGAGGCAGGGTGCATGGGAGGGGAGAGAGGAGGCGTTGGTGTGGTCTGGTCCTGGTCATGTTCTCCCCTAGGACCCCTGCCACCCCCTTCCCCACCCTTCTGTCCCAGGCTCCTCACTGAGCTGCCTGGCTGGCACTGGAGGGTCCTGGGGCTGGGCTGTGGGGTTGTGGGGGGTTCCGTCCTGGCTCTGCCACTTCCTGTGAGAACGCAGGCATGTTCCTTTACCTCGCTGTGCCTCTTTTTTTTCCAGCTGTGAAATGGGGGTGCTGTCAGTGCCTCCCAGGCTGGGGAGGGTGAAGTCAGAGTCAGCCATAGAGCTGGAGCCCTGGCCTCCCTCTGACCCCATGCTCCCAGAGGTCCTCCCAGGCTGTGGGTTGCAAGGAAAAGCCGAGAAGGCCCTGAGGTTGGGGTGGTGGGTGCTGAGGCTGGAGCAACACCTGAGTTGGGTGGAGGCCCCAAGGGAAGCTGGGAAGAGGTGCTGAGGGCTGAGCGGCTGGTGGCTGAGGGAGGGGGCCCGGCTTAGACCCTGAGAGTTCCTCACCCGGAGACAGGAAGTCCGGGTTTTCCTAGCAGGAACTGTGTGCCCATGTACACTCGTATCTCCATGCCAGGAGGCTGTGCGTGTGTCGTGTGTGCGGGTTCTCGCGGTGGCTGGGGCTGGGGGCTGCAGGCTGGGACTTCCCAGGCCAAGCCAGGCTGAGCTGGAGTGGCAGCTCCTAGAAGGTGCAGTCAGGGAGGCTGGGGACAGAGGTGGGCGGAGACCCCTGGTCTCAGTCCCTGGGTGCCTCAGTCCCGGGGTCTGGCCACTGGCCTTTCTGCCCCAGGGGGTGGACCCTGAGCCCAGGAGACCTGGCAAAGAGCCTGGAGTGCTTCCTGGGGCATGTGTTGTCCAGGCCAAGCCTGCAGGTGCTCTCAGAGAGCTACTTGGGCTCTCCCTGGCGGGTTGTCTGGCTGGACAGCCTGGAGCCACCCTACCTGCCCTCAAGCTCTCCCCAGGCCCTGCCTGCCGGTCCCTGGTCCCCAGCCTCTGCCTGCCACCTGTTCCCTGCTGTGTGGCTCAGGTGTCCTCCCTCTTCAGGACCAGCTGGGCTTCCCCCAGTGCCACCGTGGCCTGGGGCTCCTGCATGTCCTGGGGGTCCCTCTGGCCTCTGTCCCTGAGCCTGGGGTCATTGAGGCAGAGTCTGCTCTGAGAATCTTCTGGGGCCCCACCCCAGGCCCGACTGGGAGGGCAGTGAGAAGACAAAGGGGGCCCACATACCCCAGGCCCGCATGCTCTGGTCTGCGGAGATGATCCACTGTGTGTGTATGTGTGTGCAAGTGCATATGTATATGTGTGTGTAAGTATGTATGTATATGTGTATATGTATATATGTGTATGTGCATGTGTGTGCATATGTATGCATGTGTATGCACGTATGCATGTATATGTGTGTATGTGTGCGCGTATATGTATGTGCATGTGTGTGTATATATGCATAGTGTATGTGTATGTTCAGTGCATATGCATACATGTATGTGTATGCATATGTGTAAGCGCATGTGTGTATGTATGTATATGTGTATATGTGCATATGTGTGTGTTTGTATGTGTACACATGTATATACGTGTATGTGCATGTGTGTTTGTGCATATGTATGCACGTATGGGTATGTGTGTATGCATAAGCGTATGTGTGTATGTATGTATATGCATGTGCATGTGTGTGTATACATGTATAGTGTATGTGTATGTTCATGTGTATATGCATGCATGTGTGTGCGCACGTGTGCATGTGTATATGTGTATGCATGTACGTGTGTGTTATCTGCATGTGTGTGTATCTGCGTGTGTGTGTGTGCACATGCATGCCTGCTGACCCACAGACAGCGTGTTTGGGGTGAGAGGAGACTGGAGAGCCCCCCGAAGCTCAGGCTGGGGCCGGCAGCCTTCCATGGCATCTCTCCCTCCTGGTCTCCTGGCGTCTGGGCCTGGCCCCTGCTTGAGTGTGTCATGTGGGAGACACACAAGGCTGGGCCACGCAGGCCTGCGTTCCAGTCTCAGCTCTGGCCCTTCTTGTTCGTAATGTGGGAGGGAATGTCCAGTAGGGAGCCTGTCCACAGTGGTCCTGGCAAGCGGCTGTGCCGTGAGCAGCGGCTCATGTGTCCCCTCCAGGCCTGCACAGACAGGCCTGTCCCCTCTTCCTTCCTTGCCTGGTGACTTTGGCCCCTTCCTTTCTGGGTGCAGTACTCAGCGGGCCCCTCTACATGGGGTCAGCACCCCCAGCAGCTGGAAGGCGACTGCAGGACCCCTCACCAGTGCGTGCATTGGGAGAGGAGGCTGCAGTACCCAAGGCTACCACCATCCCCAATCTCACTTCCTTCCTTTGCTGTCACAAAGAAGCCCCAGGGCCGCTGTCAGCTCACACAGCTCACAGTCCATCATGAGGCCCGGGGGGGCCAGGACTGGGCTGCCCCACAGCATTGCCTGTCCCCGCCCTTCCGTGTGGACAGCTGGTCGGTGGGCACCTGCTGGCCGCTGCGCTGTGCCAAGGCTGCCACTGCAGAGGGCGGGTCCACAGTGCTTGGGTCACAGGATCAGATCTTGCTGGGAGCCACCCGAATCTCAGCCTGGCCTCCTGGGACCCTGTTCTTGTGAAACACTTGGAGGGAAGTGAAACTTGGACAAGTCACACCCACCCCTCAGTCCATCCTCTCCTTGGCCCTGGGGGCCTGGGCCTCTCCAGGGACACCCTCACTTCAGTCTGCATATGTGCCCACCCGTCTATTAGCAGCCTTAAACATGTGTTACATGCTTACTAATGTTTTGGGTAGCAATACATTTACATAGGTCAGAATTTAAAAGATACGAAAAGGGTCTAAGGTAAAAAGTCTCCTTCTTATGGCTAGTGCTCCTGCCCCCATTCCCAGAGTAACTGAGGTGACTTGCAGGACACTTGAATTGGTAAAAAGTGATTCCTGCCCAAGGAATTTATATGAATAGTGACATTCTGGGCATTGTCATTGGGAGATAGGGCAGTCGTTCTTTTTTTTCTTTTTTTAGATGGAGTCTCACTCTGTCGCCCAGACTGCAGTGCTCATTACAGCCTCCACCTCCCAGGTTCAAGTGATTCTCCTGCCTCAGCCTCTCCAAGCAAGTAGCTGGGATTACAGGCACCTGTTACCATGCCTGGCTAAGTTTTTGTATTTTTAGTAGAGATGGGGTTTCACCCTATTGGTCAGGCTGGTCTCAAACTCCTGACCTCGAGTGATTCTCTTGCCTCAGCCTCCCAAAGTGTTGGGATTATAGGCGTGAGCCACTGCGCCTGGCCTGGGCAGTCGTTCTTGATCCCTGTAAACATCAAATGAGGAACCCAATGCTCTTAGATGGATAGAATCCGCAAATAATGGACTCTTAGGATCTTGGGAAAGACAGATGTCATTGTCACTGGTAGAGGGTCATGACTGTAAGTTGTCTAGGTTCTTGGCACTTTGAACAAAGAATTGGACAGAACACCCAGCAAAGCAAAGAAAGAATGAAGCAACAAAAGAACGCAAGCAGGGACTGATTGAAAATGAAAGTACACTCCACAGTGTGCCATAGTGTGGGAGCAGTGGCTCAAGAGCTGGGTGCAGATCTTCTCGGGTCTAAATACTCCCTACAGGTTTCCCATTGGCCACTTCATGCTCACCTCATGT